TGCTCTATCACTCCTTCAGCCTTATCATTGTCACAATTTCCTATGGATAGGACATTGAACACCTTTTCATATGCTTATTTGCCATCAACATATCTTCTTTGAGAGTATATTCAGATCTTTTGCCCACTTTTTATTTGATTGTTTCTTTCTCATTTTTGGCCCGAGTAAATCTACCCCACTTATCTTTTAGATCCCAGTAGTCCTTTCCTTGCTCCTTTAATTGGATTTAAGCATGGAGCTCATGCCTGTAATCCTAGCTACTTGAGAGACAGAGAATGGGAGGATCACAGTTTGAGGCCAGTCTGAAATCAAATCTTCATAAGACCCTTGCTCAACCCATAGCTGGCTTCAGTGATATGCCCATAATATCTTAAATTACATGGGAAACTAAGATTAGGAGGATCATGGTTCCAGGCCAGCCATAGCAGAAAAGTCCACAAGACTAAACCTCAATGGGCAGAAATTGGGGAAGGTGTTGTGCCTGTCAGCTTCAGGAAGCCTGAAACTGGCAGATCTCAGTCCAGGCATTTGCACAGGACACGAATTGAAACCCTGTTTTTAAAATAACCAGACAGAGCTGAGCACCAGTGGCTCATGCCTATAATCCCAGCTACTTAGGAGACAGAGACCTGGAGGACTGTGGTTTGAAGCTAGGCAGGGTAGAAAAGTCCTTAAGATTTCATCTCCAGCTAACCAGCAAAATGATGAACTGGCAATGTGGCTCAAGAAGTAGAGTACCAGTCATGAGCAAACAAGCCAAATATAAGACTCACAGTTCAAGCTCTGATACAGGTGTATGCATGCATGTACACACACAAACATAAACACACATACACACACATGCATACAGAGCAGAAATAGGACTGGATGTATGGCTTAGTGAAAGAGTACCTGTCTAGTACGTATGAAATCTTGAGTTCAAACCTCAATACCATAAAGTGAGAGAAGGGAAGAAAGGAAGGTAGGGAGGAAGGAGGGAAGGAGGGAAGGAGGGAGGAAGGAAAAAGGAAGGAGGAAGGAAGGAAGGAAAGAAGGCAAGGAAGGCCATTATATGAGCATTTTGGGCTTCTTTAAATTTATATGTATTTATGAAATAATTTGAATACTGCCTATTTCCTTTGAGTCTGTAAGAGCAGGTACTATATCTAGCTTTATTCCTTGAGATAAATCCCTAGGGCTACCTCTTGCTATGCTTGACACATAGTAGGTCTCCACAAATACTTAGGGAGAAAGGAATAGCTAATGACCTTCTTGGAGAAGGAAAGTTGGACTGGGGAAGAAGGGTCATTTAAAACCAACCACCTCCAGGCCAGGGTGAGTTCAGAATTTCAAAGAGCATGTATAACAGTGGGAGAGGGCAGAGAGCCAAAAACAAGAGCCAAAAAGCAGCACAGCCTGTAAGACTGGTGTCAGGAATACTAACATGTAAACTGAGCTGAGGTTTAAACAAATGATAGAAACCACAGAAACTCTTCTTTAGAAAATTATTTGGAGCAAGTAAAATAACAAGGAAGAGCCGGGCCCCCACACTTAACTTCAGGAGGCAACATTTTTCATACATCATGTCTTTTTCCCTTAAGACCGGAAAGCATAAAGGCAAATTCCAGAAGGAGAACGTCAAGCTCAAGGTCAATGCCGAGACTTCAGATGAATCTCATCAGAGCTCAGGAATACTATTGCACAGCCACTGTCTGTGATTTCTGAGAAACTTGGGAAAGAAGCCAACAATCAGGGAAGTGTGAAATGTTTGTCCATTTTCAAAAAGAAAGAATGTGCAAATGGGGTAAATTTAATGACCTCTGACTTCCAAGCTTGAAATTAATTTATGATGCAAATCTGAACTTGATTTGGAAATGGAGTGCCTAGAAAGTGGAATTTAAAAAAAAAAAAAAACATTTCTTTTCTGCCTCAATAAACTTCCATTTAAAAGTTGCCAGCTAGCCTGAAGAAGACAGCCAATCTTCTGGAAGGAAGTCTTTGTCCCCAGAACAATTGCATGAACGGTCTCCTTCAGTTATGTAAATGTGGCAGCTAGGCATCATTACCCTGGAAAATAGGATGTAACTGGACATTTTCTCCTAATGTGCAGCTTGACAGAGCTGTTCTTCATATTTCTAGGTATGAAGAGCTGATTGAAAAAAAGAGAGAGAAAGCTGATTGGTGAAAGTAATTGGGAAAATTTATACAGAGACAGGAAGCCTTCTGGGAGAAAAGGCATCCAAACTGAATCTTTGTCACTGCAGGCTAAGTATTAAATCTCTTATGCACTGAAATAGCCACACCAGAATTCACCTGGCTTCTGCCTCAAATGACTAGGCTCTCCTCCCAAGGAAGAAGCTAAACAGGTGGGAAGAGGATGTGTGAAAATGGTGACAGGGCTGTCCTTACTGCAGGGGGCGTGTACATGGGCCTGAGGCTACAGCCTCCTCCCAGCACAGCTGTCCTAAAGAGAAAGCCTCTGCACAGGATCCAAGAGTGTAGTGTCCTTGTTCTTGTCTGGGTCCAATGCTGGGAGAGACCCACTTGCCTGTGATGATGCCATCCAGGGGCATGGATTTATTATCTCTACCCATTAAAGAATTAAAAGGCAGGAAAGTGTTTAATGTAAACTGAGCAAGTTTATTTTAAAGTGAAGGAGAGCTGTGGTAGGGAGACTGGAGACAGCCCCCCAAAGAGAAGTCTAATGGAATCTGCTTAGAGGACAGTTTTTATAGAACAGGGCTCTTTCCATATGTCCTCCCCTGGGCTTTGTTTCCATTGCTTGATGACATGTGAGTGCACCACCCAGGCTCTTTTTATTGGTTGAGCAGGCACGCAGGGAAGTATGGAAAGAAGCATCTGAGCAGGAACTCAGCATTATGGGAAGAGGAAGCATTTGAGCAGGGGCCTAAGCACCGTGAGGGGACACATGTTATCTGCCACATGTTATGCTGGCCACTTTTTATGCCTATCTACCTGTTCCCCTTTCTTTCCTCAGTGACATCAGCACAGCAAGTGAGTATGAAGCAACACAGATGGAAACAAGGGAGAGAGAGAGACAGAGAGACAGAGACAGAGACAGAGACAGACAGACAGACAGATAGAGACAGAGAGAGACAGAGAAAGACAGAGACAGAGAGAGACAGAGAGACACAGAGAGAGAGAGAGAGAGAGAGAGAGAGAGAGAAGGAGGCAGGGAGGGAGAGGACAAACCCACAAAGATGGAGGGGGAAAAGCAGGAAGAAACAGAAGTTAGAGATGCTCTGGGTTCTTTTGGCCAATACAACATGGTATAAGTAGCTAGGAGGCAGGAGTTTATTTAGTGCACTGGGATGAATAATATCCTTCCAAAATTCCTGTCCAACTGGGAATTAGGAGGATTGAGGAAGAGGCCCTGACAGACTCTCCCTTAGACCCTCCAGCCTATTTACCCCTTAAGTGTGGATGCCTCACTTCTGCAACTGTAGGAGAATAAGTTTCTGGGTTTTTGTTGTTGCTATTTTGTTTTGTTTTTCTGGTCCTGGGGCTTGAACTCAGAACCTAGACACTGTCCCTAAGCTTCTTTTGCTGCAGGGCTAGTGCCCTACCACTTGAGCTACACCACCACCACTTCTGGGTTTTTTTTTTTTAATTAATTTATTGGAGATAACAATCTCATGGACTTTCCTACCCTGACTGGCTTTGAACCTCTACCCTCAGATCTTAGCCTTCTGAGTAGCTAGGATTACAGGCATGAGCCACTAGTTTCTGATGTTTTAAGTTTGTGGTACTTTATTCCAGTAGCCTGAGTTGATTTGGACATGTGGAGATTTGAAAGATTAATCAGAACAATAAAAATTATATGAATCCTCTTTGAATCCTAAACAAGTAAGGCAAGTTACATCAGTTACAGATAATTGAAGAGATGCCTTATTTGGTCTGATACATCAAGAAAATGTTAAGCTGATGATACCTGGATTGATGGCAACTCATGTGAGAGAAATTTGTTTACAGTTGCTGCTAGCTTGATATGTGAAAGCAATGAGACTTGCTTACTCAGGAAGATAACCATTGATACAGATGTGCTAATAGCAATGAACTTGCTAATCAAGTTTCTTATCAGAGCAGTGTAAAATGATGATGATATAGTTCATAGAAATGACTAATGACTGAGTGATGCACAGGAATCATGCAGTGGGTGTACTGGCCAATACAGAAAAGCAGTTTTTAGGAAAATGCTGAACATATATTCAATAGGGATCAAAGAACTTCAAGATTCCCAAATTTCTCCTTTTTAAATGGTACCTTTCCTCCCCGAAGGGGATAAATCAACCCTTGGAGGAATAGATCAGCAAGTGTTAGTGACAACACACAAAGGTGCAACAGCGTCTTAGTAGTGTACCTTGCTTGACCAGCACTCCTCTCCTGCTTTCTAAATCTCTTGCAAGCATCCCTTGTGGCTCAGTCCAACTCTAAATGATACACAGAAGGGAATTCTGGGAACTGTGTTCCAGCTAAGCTAGTTGACCCTTCACAAAGCTAATGCAACATGTGAAAGACCGAGTGTGTGCACGTGCACATGCATGTGCATGTACACTGCTCCTTGAATTCAGGGCCTACGTGCTGTCTCTGAGCTTTCTTGTTCAGGTAGTGCTCTACCACTTGAACCACAGCTTCACTTCCAGCTTTTTTGGTGTTTAAAAAAATAAAGTCTCTTGGGCTTTCCTGTCCAGGTTGGCTTTGAACTGTGATCCTCAGATCTCAGCCTCCTGAGTAGCTAGGATTAGAGGCACGTGCCACTGGCATCTGGCAGAAAGCTAACTTTTTAACTTTTAAAAACTTTTCACTGGGCTATAAATTTAGTACAGTGGTAGAGACCCTGGGTTTGATCCCCAACACTACCAAGATAATAATAATAATAACAACAACAACACCAATAATAATAATAACAACAACAATTTCCACATATTTGCACTGAGTTCTTATATTCTGTTCTCAGAGCTTTACCAAATGTTTCTATCTTATAGAACAGTGTGATGGCTTTTCTGCCTCCGCTGCTGCCATGGCACCCATGAAAAAGCTTGTGGTGAAGGGGGGCAAAAAAAAGAAGCAGGTTCTGAAGTTCACCCTGGGCTGCACCCACCCTGTAGAAGATGGAATCATGGATGTTGCCAATTTTGAGCAGTTTCTCCAAGAGAGAATCAAGGTGAACGGGAAAGCTGGAAATCTTGGTGGAGGAGTGGTCACCATCGAGAGAAGCAAAAGCAAGATCACTGTAACCTCTGAGGTGCCTTTCTCCAAAAGGTATTTGAAATATCTCACCAAAAAATATTTGAAGAAGAATAATCTACGTGATTGGTTACGCGTAGTTGCTAACAGCAAAGAGAGTTATGGATTATGTTACTTCCAGATTAACCAGGACGAAGAAGAGGAGGAAGACAAGGATTAAAATTCATTTATCTGGAATATTTTGTATGAGTTCTTGTATAAAACTTGGGAACCCAAACAGTGGTTTATCCTTGTAAAAAAAAAAAAAAAAAAAAGAGAACAGTGTGATGATCAAAACCAGGAACCTGACATTGATGCTTTTAGCTAATTGACAGATCTTATTCAAATTCAGTCAATTGTCCCACCGATCAGCTTGTTCTGGTCCAGAATCCAAACCAGGTTTCCACATGGCATTTAGTTGTCAGATCTTCTTAGATCTCTGTGGCCTGGGGCAGCTCATCCATAGTCTGAAAAACTCAACAATAAATACGACAGAGCAGGAAATATCCAGAACAGTGATAGTCTGGGAAGCAAGTAAACTGAAGAGACATTGCTGGACCTGGTACTTGCAGCCTAGGGAAGAGAGAAGTCTTAAAGATTGCATTTGTTGCCTTTAAAGGGTCTACAACACCTGGTGACCTTCACACAGAAGTTGAAGTACACTTGCTCTGCCTTGCCCCAGTGGGTGGGAAGTAGAAGCAATGGGGAAAAATACTACTAAGAAGAGTTCAGGTTGGGACTGTTCAGAATATTCTATATTCTATCATGTGGAATGACTAACTGTATGGCCTTGTGCTATACTGGGCTGGATCACAGCAGGCAGGTAGGCCTGATAAACAAGAAGCCAGGTAGAGGCAGGTCAGGGGTGGGGCAGCTGGCAGAACCACATGACTCAGGGACATTAGACTCTGGGCAGAGAACGAGTAGACAGTGAGTTGGTTGGAGCAGGTTCATGAGGCAGTAGCTGGGACTGAAGACAGCTCTAACAAGTTGGCTACTGAATTTTCTCTTAATAAGAAACTTGAGACACCACCTGAAACCTTACCTGAGCATAGCTGGTAGTCTAGCTGGTCAGGGCTGGGAAGGTGGCTCGGTGGTAGAGCGCTTGCCTTACATGCATGAAGCCCTGAGATTCTTCAGCACCACATAAGCAGAAAAAGCCGGAAGTGGTGCTGTGGCTCAAGTGGTAGAGTGCTAGCCTTGAGCTGAAGAGCTGAGGGACAGTGCCCAGACCCAGAGTTCAAGCCCCAGGACCAACAACAACAAAAAAGTCTCTGGTCTACCATGAGAAAAAAAGTGTTCTGGAGGAAGAGTGTTGGCATCAAAAACACAATGGCACCTCTTAAGAGAGAGGTGTGCTGCAGGCTGGAAAGCTGCTAACCCTGGTCCCTGACATGATTTAAGTCTGAGCAGTCCTGGTTGCTGGACATTTGTCGTCCAAAGGGATGTTTATCATGTCTATCTGAAATGTATATAATCACCAAAAAGCAAAACCATCTAAATGGCAGCAAGGAAAAGTAATTCAAGTATAAGTGAATATCTCAGTTTCCTTCCTCCTTCCTTTCTGTTTACTTCCCTTCCCTTCCTTTGTGTTTCCTTTCCTTTCTCTACCACTTGAGCCACACCTTCAGTCTGGCATTTTGCTGATTAATTGGAGATAGAATCCCCCAAACTTTTCTAGGCAAGATTACAGGTGTCAACCACCAGCACCCAGTTCAGCACTGGTTATTTTTGAGAAAGGGTCTCATGTCTTGCCATGGAACATGACCCTCCTATTTTCGCTTCCTTTTGTAACTGAGACAATGGACATTCACTATACCCAGCTATCACTTGAGAAGGAATCTGTTTCACATACTTTCCTACCAAGAGGATCTGAAACCAAAATCTTCTTGATCTCAATTTCTTTTTTTTTTTTTTTAAATTTTTTTTTTTAATTGTGAAAATACCGTACAGAGGGGTTAAAATTACATGAGCAAGGTAATGAGTACATTTCTTATCAAACATTGTTGCCTCCTCCTTTGTTTCCCCCTTACCATCCCTTCCCTCCCATTCTCTTCCACCCCCCTCTACCCCCCCACCAAAGTTGTAAAGTTCATTTTTTGACATAACGTCTTATACATCTCATTGTTGCAATGGTTCCACCTGTATCCCTACTTAAACAATTTGTTTTTTCCCTTCCCCTCCACAAATTATAACAACATCAAATACAGTGGAAACAGGGTTATACCATGGGGGAGGGACATACAAAGCAACAAAGAAATCATCTTATAAATATGTTAGAAACAATAGCAAGAAGAAAAACCATTTGAGTCCTTATCTTGGGGTTCATTTTGCCTCTCATCAACTTGTCTGACTGTTTCTGTTTGACTCATACATATACTAGTTATTGCAAATAAGGGAAACCATGGAACCTATGTTTCTTTGGGCCTGGCTTACTTCACTTAATATAATTTTCTCCAAGTCTTTTCATTTCCTAACAAATGAGGCAATGTCATTCTTTCTGATGGAGGCATAGAATTCCATTGTGCATATATACTACATTTTCTTGATCCATTCATCTACTGAGGGGCATCTGGGTTGCTTCCATATCTTAGCTATGGTAAATAATGCTGCAATAAACATAGTTGCGCTGGTAGATTTAGTATGGGCTTGTTTGTGATCATTTGGGTAAATGCCCAAAAGTGGGATTGCTGGGTCATAGGGAAGCTCTATATGGAGTCTTTTGAGGAACCTCCATACTGCTTTCCAAAGTGGTTGAACAAGTTTATACTCACAATGCAGTAGGGTTCCCTTCTCTTGATCTCAATTTCTTAAGTAGCTAGTACCTAGTACATTTCTAATCTTCTCCTTCTTCTCTTTCTCCTTCTCCTTTTCTTTCTTTTTCTCCTCCTTCTCCCCCTCCCTCTTCCCTTTCCTCCTCCTCCTCCCCTTCTTCCTTCCTTATATAGAACTAGAGATTGAACTCTTACTAGAGACCTTCTGCCACTTCAGTCATGCCTCCAGCTCTTTTTATTTTTGCATTGGCTATCTTAAAGGTATGATCTCATTTTATGCAGGGTTAGCCTGGGCTAGACTCCTATTTGTGCTTTCCCATATCACTGGAGATGACAGGTATGCACTACTGTACCCAGCTATTGTACTTCCCCCATAGCTATGATAACAGTGCACACCACTACACCTAGCCATCGGTTGAGATAGAACCTTTTAAATTTCTTTTTTCTCATGCTGCCTTCAAACTGCAATCCTCTAATCTCTGCCCCCCGCCCCGAGGTCGTTAGGATTACAGGTTTGAGCCACCATGCCCAGCTTCTGTTCTTGAAGTTAATCAAGAGTTGAGATTTTCTTCTAAGTTAATCAAGCAAACAGTTAGTTCACAAAATCCTGAAGATTAAGTAGCAAACAAATGAAGAATGATGTAGCACTGTCATGACTGTTATTACTCTGAGACAGTCACTACCTGACTGCAGATACAAGTGTCTGTGTGTCCATCTGGTTGTTAGTCCACCTATTATCTCTTTCTCTAGCCATTCATATTTTCTCTGTCAAACCATTATTCATTTAACAGACTCTGTGTTGAATACTGGAGGATAGGAGTGTAGAGGATAGAGTGTAGAGTGAACTTGCCACTTGGGTGAACTTAAGCTAAAAATTTCTATTTCAAATGTACCTAACCAAGAAATTTCTATAGATTAGTAAAAGCCTCTTGTTACATGCTGGATATGTGGCCACCAACCTATGTGTTAAAGCTTGGTAAACAGCCTGTGGGAGTATTGGGAAGTTGTGGACCCTTAAGAGGTAGGGCCTAGCAGGAGGAAGTTAAGTCACTGGGTTGTGTCCTTGGAGGGAGATATTGGGACTCAGCCCTTTCCTCTCTCTTTTATTCCCCAATGATGATGGATTAGGCAGCTTCTTCTAATAGGGGATCCTGCCATGATCTACTACTTCACCACAGGCAACAAAACCAACCAACTGTAGACTTGATGCTTCTGAAACTATAAGCCAATCCTTTTAAAGTCAATCTCAGATATTTTGTTACAGTAGCAGAAAGCTGACTAACACATCATTTATAAGAAATAACTTAAATTTGTATTTAACAAAAACTTTCAGTTTATGTGATTTATAAGAACTTTTGCTATTCAAAATTCAACTTCATAAATACAGAGAAAAAGAATCAATGCTCCAATCCCTTCTCATATTCAAGATTATGAAACCCTAGCTGGGCAATGGCACTTAGCTATAATCCCAGCACTGACAAAAGGACCACAGGCTCAAGCCCAGCCTGGGCTATACAACAAGACCCTGTCTCAAAGACTACAAAATAAAAGACTACAAAAAGTCCAGTGCTGGTGGCTTATACTTCTAATCCTAGCTACTCATGAGGCTGAGATCTAAGGATCAAGGTTCAAAAGCCAGCCCAGCCCAGTCCATGAGACTCTTATTTTAAATTAACCACAAAAACAAAGTTAGAAGTGGACCTTTGGCTCAAGTGGGAGAGCACTAGCCTTGAGCTTAAAAGCCAGAGGACAGTGCCCATGTCCTGAGTTCAAGTCCCAGTACCATCAATCAGTCATCAATTAATTAATTTATCAACAATCAGGACACCTTCTCAGATGACCAGATACGGTTTCACTCACAGAACCCAGAGGGAAAGGCCCTCAAAGCCAGAGAAACATACCAAGATAGAAAGGAATTGTTAAGAGGTGAATCACAACAGCCACAACAAGGGTGTGAAGAAGCCTGTGGGCAGCTTTCTTGGGTGAACACCATACTTAAGCCTGGAAGTATTCTCAGCACAGCCCATGTAGAGATCTGCAGGATGATCGGGACCGTTGCTGCACTGGGCCGAGTGAGGCTGCCTGTGGTCAACTCATAGCCATCAAGGGAGCTGAGTTCCAGGCACTGTCAGTGCCTCATTCATCACCTGACTTGGCTCAGATTCCTGACCATAAGTTGAGTTCTTTAGAACCTTCGAAGCTAAAATGAGGGAGGATGGGGGTGGGGCAGGGCTCTCTTCAGAGCAGAACTGGGCTTCTGGAGCTAGACCCACCAGCATTTCACAGCCTCAATGACTGCCAGGCCTCCTCAGCTGCACTTTGAATTCTAGTGGGAGAAAGTGTTGACAGCATTTTAGTTAAGGTTGCTTTGTCCTACTTTAGACAGTGGCATTCTTCTTTTTTTTTTTTTTTTTTTAAGGCC